TGAGAGGTGCTACATCGTGAATGGCGTCACTGGATGACCTGCACCGAATGTTGCATTAAGAGGAAGGGCGGAAGGAAGGCGGCAATGAAAAAGAGAAGCAAAAGGGAAGATTTGCATCCCATTCGTGCTATCAGAGGAGAATAAGTGAAACAACTGTTTGTGTTTACTTTATGTCAAGGCGGTTGTGACTATCACCAACGCTGGCCGATTGGACGCCTGTGATGAAGGCTTGTTCACCTACTGTGGAGTGGGAGTAGGACGGAGTCATCGTGTGTGCGGTGTTTTCGGATGCGCCTACCATGATGGCAACCATGGAGGTGTTTTGTAAAGGCAGTGTCTGGTGCAAAAAGAAAAAGGGCATTGTCTGGCGATTCCAAAAAAAAAAAAAAAAGAACTGACGCAGATACCAACGCGAGGAAGGAGGCAAACGTTTGCTCGTGGGTGAGGTTCTTGTAGTCACGATGACCAATGAAACATCCACCAATGGTAGGTGTCAAGGCTCACTGGTGTCACGGTTACAAAACGACTTGCCAACGATTGCAGTGGAGTGGGAGTTGAACGAATGATTAGAAATGAGGGTGCTTCGGCATTGTAGGGAAATTTCTTGCTGCAATCCTTTCCTCTCGGACCTTTCTTTTACCTGTTTTTTGGTGCTTATTTTCGATCCTGGCGTAATGAGAGGTTGTGCAGTAGCCTTAGTGATAGCCTAGTGACTTTAACGACAACACTGACGGAGGAGGGTGAGTACTCAGGTATTTGATTTCCCATCTCGCCCCATCAGGAGCTGGAATGTGCTCTTGGAGTTCGATGTTGACTGTGGGCTGTTGGATGGATGTTGGAATGGGGAAATTCGCGTTCAAGTTGGGAGGCAGCATTTGTTTGCCTTTGTGACGGGTGAGAGTTTGTTGTCAACGCGAGTGACATTGTAGTTTTCCCCGTTCATTTCACGCAAGGAAAGTGCCTCTGGGTTAGATTTGCATGGCGGGTCCTTGAAGATGTGGTGGTTTGTTCGTGTGTACGCCTTCATGCAATTTAAGCGTCATGTGTGGACGGGTGTGCGTTGAAGGAAAGAGGTGGTAGTTGAAGGGGTGGAGGGAGCCGAGGGTGTAGTGAGAGGAGGGAGGGAGGGAGAGATGGGGTACTCTTGTGTTGTGGGAGAGGTTGATTTGATCAAGAGCAAGGGGTGAGAGTGCTGCTAGGTCTTTGTAGTATGAAGATCTTTGACGAACACATCACTGGTGGAGGATGGGGGGCGGTGGGAGGGGGAAGTGGGTGATTTCACTGATGTTGTAAGCGATCCCAGAGCGTAGTGGTGGGATTTTGGAACTAGTGACCTTGTGGAAGAGGCAACGAAGTAGGCGGTGTTGCCGTATGAGAGTGGATGGGAGTGGCAGGGGATTTGACAGGTAGCGTCTTAACTCTAATCGTCAACGTGATG